ACCTGGGATGTGGAGGGAAGGCTGCCATCCGTGAGGGAGCGGAGGAGTCGCCGCCATTTGCCTGAGGCCGGAGCCTGCTGCCGTCCACCATGATGGGGAGGAGCAGGGAACGGGGGACTCCTGCCGACTCCCAAAACCCGGAGGGTCGTCCACCGAGGGCTGTCCAGTGCCACCGCCTGGTATCGCGGAAGAGTTTTCCCAGCTGGTGGAGGGCCGAGCGGCAGTGTGTCTGGGAACCGGAACAAGATTTTTTTTTCCTCTCTCGTCTCTGTCTCTCCTCATCCTTCCGTCTCCTTTTCTCCCGCCTCGTCTGTCTGTCCTTGCCCCCAGGTACGCCGCGGCCACCGAGATCGGCTCCCCCACAGGGGGGAGGGGGGAGTAGAGCCCAGTCTCGTGGGTACCCCCCGGCTTGCGAGGAGCGATGGGGGTATTTGACGAGAGGGGCGGGGCCGAGAGCCGAGACCCGTGGGAACGGAGCGAGGCCGGTGAAGTAAGTGATAATGCACGACACCTGCGCCACTCACCGGTCTCGAGTCCCAAGGAGGAGCTCCGGAAGGATAAAAGGAGGAGTGATGACAGTGTTGGATGAGAGAGGACCAGGCCTGGACTTTATTTTGTGTTTTGGTTCTGTTTGTGCCCCTCGCGGACGACTGTCACGCTATTTTGTGTTTATTTTGTTATTAAAGTTTTGTTTGAATGTTCGCTGGATCCCGCCTCCTTCTTCCCGAACTGCGAACGTTGTTACATACCCATTCTCTCAAGAAAAAAAACTTGTAGTCTTGAGCGCAAATGGAGAAAAACTGCGTGGAAAAACAGTGTGTCCAGCGATAGACAGGTTCTAAAAGCTGCCAGATATTAACTATATGGCTCCGCGTTATCGTCCGGGCAGAACTATTGTTCCAGCCACCAAAGACAGATTCACAAATAACCTGCCTGATTTATCTCAACTGCTCTGTGTACCAATCAGTACACATGAACAAGACAAAATGACTAGTAACATGGGCACTATCTTCTCTAATACGTTAGAAGCCGTTGCCCCCATCAAATTGAAAAAGGTTAGAGAAAAACGTACTGCGCCATGGTACAACAGTAATACCCATTCTCTCAAGAAAAAAAACTTGTAGTCTTGAGCGCAAATGGAGAAAAACTGCGTGGAAAAACAGTGTGTCCAGCGATAGACAGGTTCTAAAAGCTGCCAGGGCCGAGCATATCCATAAACTTTTCTTCACTGATAAAATAGATAACATCAAAAATACAATAACAAATTTATGTTTTTTAGGGTATATTATTTCAGCTTCATTCATCGCACCAAAAGATAAACTGTAGTGCAAGTAGACAAGAAGAGCTAAATAAACTGATCACTGCATCTAAACCAACAACATGCCTGTTAGATCCTCTACCCACTAAATTACTAAAAGAGTTGTTACCTGTAGCAGAAGAACCACTTCTCAATATTATTAACTCATCGTTATCTTTAGGTCACGTCCCAAAACCATTCAAGCTGGCGGATATTAAGCCTCTTATTAAGAAACCACAACTAGATCCTAGTGAACTGGCAAATTACAGACCCATTTCAAATCTCTCTTTGCTCATGGGAACCAGTCGTGTGAGCTGTTAATGCCATGTGATTAATCACTCTGGAGACTATAGTCATGACAATGCTAATTAGCTAATAACAACATAAGAAAGTTCACAGTCCCAAACCCTTCACTACTGACCGTCATAAGCTGTTACATGAAAGGTAGTAGACAGGGAAAACATGAGTTATACTTTAAAAGGAATAGTCCACTTCAGTAAAATTCTGGGATCATTTACTTCATTTCCAGCGTTATCGTTGACATGATTGCAAAGATATTATTTAAACTGAGCTGGATGTTGACCTCACTGAATTCAATGATGAACTGTCTTTAACTGAAAAATGAGTGTTTACTATTGTCATTTTGCATTATTGACACTATTTTCCTAATTAATGCTGTTCAGTTGCTTTGTCACAATCTGTATTGTTAAAAGCGCTATTTAAATAAAGGTGACTTGACTTGACTTGACTTACCAGGTCAAGAAAATATCTTGTCTCTGCACTGGCTACCTATTAAGTTCCATATCAGTTACAAAATATCATTACTTACCTATATGGGCCTTAATGGGTTAGCTCCTGTGTTAGTTAGGTACTAGTCTTCTACCACACTACAATCCATCACGCTCCCTAAGGTCGCAAAACTTAGGACTTTTGGTAATACCTAGGATAGCAAAGTCCACTAAAGAAGGTAGAGCTTTTTTACATTTGGCTCCCAAACCCTGGAATAGCCTTCCTGATAACGTTCGGGGTTCAGACACACTCTCTCTTTTTAAATCTAGATTAAAGACACATCTATTTGGTCAAGCATTCAGAAAATGCATCTCATAATCTTGTACTGCAGTTATATCTGATCAAATGCACATTATTATTCTTTAGCTTGGGTTAAACAAATCAATTTTGCTTGGTTGGAACTTGGAAGAGCAGCTACGCTAATTATGTCTCTGTTTTTGCCATGGGATTGACATCCCGTGGTAACTAGGATTTACACAAGCTTCAGTCTGGATCCAGAACACCTGAGAAGAGATGATGCCAACCCCTCAGAGGACCTCAGATGATGCCAACCCTGAAACAACATACAGAACTACAAAATTTTGCTAAAGGTTTAATTGCAGCATATAATAATTGCTGTTAATAGTGTTAATCGTCTGTTTGATTACATTTTTAATTGATTACATCTTAAATTGATTTTTCCGTACATTTCTGCCATATGTACATTAACTGACAGTCACCACTGATAAGCTACCACTAAATATTGTAGAAACTTAATTTGCTGAAAAGTTGCTTTTGAATGATTTGTATCATGAAAAGCACTATACAAATAAACTTGAATTGTATTGAATTGAATTGCTAAGGTATTCTAAAGAAATTCTGCTTTGCCAAGTACAGTTCTCAGGAGAGCACATTCTTTCCTAGTGTAAACACTAACGAACGTCTAGGCTGAACTTGTTTAGCTTGTGTTTGTGTGGTCATTTGTAGACCAGGCAGGTTGTATATTGAGGCCAGGGTTGCTCTTCAGGAGGGAGTTCCCAGCTGGCTAAATGTGTTTAAGATGGATTTGTAGCTCAGAGCACAAAGGGGGAGCCATCTGTGTGACGGTCGATCTTTATTTAAAACTCTCACTCCAATCCCTTCTGTTGTCACACTGCACTAAACTCTGATTCATGTCTTCCTTATCAATTTTTGAGAAACAAAACTGAATCTTCTAAGATCAACAATTCCACAAATCCAGTTTTGCATGTTGAACCCCCTCAGTATGCAATATTTATATTAATGGAACTGTTCATTTAACAGCATACACATCACATCAAAGTGGGATCTGATGGAGATGTTTAAGACACAGACATCTCACCGAGAGAAAGAAAGAGAAATAACGATAGAAAGCATACCAGAAATGCCCATCATTCTAACACCAGTGCTCACATGTCCTCTGGTCTCATAAGACTGAGCTTTTAAAGAGGGGGGCTGACTGCACCTCAAGTATAATAGCTAATGATTTTTAGGATAAGCTCAAGGGGAGTTTAAAACAAGCATCCTTGTGAAGGGTTACTAATAGTAGTAGGTTTAATTGCAGCATATAATAATTGCTGTTAATAGTGTTAATCGTCTGTTTGATTACATTTTTAATTGATTACATCTTAAATTGATTTTTCCGTACATTTCTGCCATATGTACATTAACTGACAGTCACCACTGATAAGCTACCACTAAATATTGTAGAAACTTAATTTGCTGAAAAGTTGCTTTTGAATGATTTGTATCATGAAAAGCACTATACAAATAAACTTGAATTGTATTGAATTGAATTGCTAAGGTATTCTAAAGAAATTCTGCTTTGCCAAGTACAGTTCTCAGGAGAGCACATTCTTTCCTAGTGTAAACACTAACGAACGTCTAGGCTGAACTTGTTTAGCTTGTGTTTGTGTGGTCATTTGTAGACCAGGCAGGTTGTATATTGAGGCCAGGGTTGCTCTTCAGGAGGGAGTTCCCAGCTGGCTAAATGTGTTTAAGATGGATTTGTAGCTCAGAGCACAAAGGGGGAGCCATCTGTGTGACGGTCGATCTTTATTTAAAACTCTCACTCCAATCCCTTCTGTTGTCACACTGCACTAAACTCTGATTCATGTCTTCCTTATCAATTTTTGAGAAACAAAACTGAATCTTCTAAGATCAACAATTCCACAAATCCAGTTTTGCATGTTGAACCCCCTCAGTATGCAATATTTATATTAATGGAACTGTTCATTTAACAGCATACACATCACATCAAAGTGGGATCTGATGGAGATGTTTAAGACACAGACATCTCACCGAGAGAAAGAAAGAGAAATAACGATAGAAAGCATACCAGAAATGCCCATCATTCTAACACCAGTGCTCACATGTCCTCTGGTCTCATAAGACTGAGCTTTTAAAGAGGGGGGCTGACTGCACCTCAAGTATAATAGCTAATGATTTTTAGGATAAGCTCAAGGGGAGTTTAAAACAAGCATCCTTGTGAAGGGTTACTAATAGTAGTAAATATTATGGCAAGAGCTTAAGTGCTTGTAACTCAAGTAACTACGGAATAAGCCTGCATCTATAAATAGCGCATATATACTGTACATCAGTTTGTAGTCTATCATGAACTCACTGAGATGGTCAGTTAATGGCACTTTCTACTGCAAACATACACATTAAATCAACTACACTTCCAGGAAGGTTAATATCCAAGAGCACCACTGAAGTAACCTATTTGGATTGCTGAGATAAAGTGTAAGACATCTAGATTACATAGAGTTATGTTAAAAGGGATAGTTTGCCTAAAAAGATGAAACATTTGTCATCATGTAATCACATGTGGTGAATTTGGTAAATCGCTTTGGTAAATCATAATTATTTGATAAAAAGTCAAAATTATGACAAAATTTGACATTGTCATAAAATCATGATTATGAGATAAAAAGTAAAAACTACTACATACTAAGTCATGATTAGATAAAAAGTCATAATACATCTTAAAGTCAATTTTGACATAAGAAGACATCATGGCATAAAAAGTCAACTTTATTTCAGCCTTCCATGTCAAAATTTTGTCCAAAAAAAAATGTTGTTTGTCTTTTTAATCTTATAATTACATGACTGAATGTGAATATCTCATAATTTTTACTTTTTGTCAAAGTTGTTTTCGCATGTCATAATTTCATAAAAGTATGTCTACGTATCTCACTATTGAGATTTTTATGTCATATTTATGACTTATCAAAGCATGTTTTTTCTTATGTGGTGCAAATGGAGTAACACAAAACCACAATTTTCCAGAATATCTTATTTTATATTTTGCAGAGGAAAGCATACAGGTTTGCAGCTATACATGACAGCGCGTAAAGGATGCCAGAATTTTCATTTTGGGTGAACTATCCCATAGAGTCTGCATCTTCATAGTATTTCAGTGTTCAAGAGATCCAGATCACCTCAAAGACCCCATCTTCTCTGCATCCAAAAATACTCTTCGTCATTTACACAGAGATAACCTACACTCTGATAATTGTACGCTATTTCCCATGCTGGTTTTTGAAGGAATAGGTTATGTATTTCCGTGTCTGTAACAAGCAAGTAGCCCTGATAGATGGACAGAAAAAAGTGAAGTGGCAGGGGGACCGTTATAGCTCTTCCACGTCAGCACTGGCCTTTATTCGTTCTAGTCTTATTAAAGCATTTAAGAGTATAGCGTCAAAGTGTGACCTGGAGTTACACACTTACACACGCACAAACATACAGATATGCCTGGCCAAAGACAGCGCTGTCACCTCCACGACATGAGCTGGATCAGACAAAAGCTCCTGAGCGTTTTCTGAATTTAAATGTGAGCTAAAAGGAGAGCTCTCAACAAAACAGGATAATAGAGAGAGAAAGAAAACAAGAGAGCACATCAGAAGGGAAGGTCACCACAATGGGCTTTGTGTGGCATCACAGGCAGCACGTACATTGTGGTCTGCATTTACACAGTTACACAGGCAAAAGGTGATGGAGTTTATATATATTACAGCCTTTTGCAT